TGAAGAGGGTTTTTTCCTTTGAGAAATTTGGGGAAGAGCCAGAGGCTGTATACAGAACTAGACAGAGACACCTTTGGTTTGTTCTGGTATGGCAGTCCTGTTCTCATGTGATCTTATGTTTTGCAGCAACTAAAGGGGATTTATCTCTGACTGCTCTGATTTAGTCAAATCAGAATTGTCTCATCAGAGGTCCAGACTGAATAAAGATTTGTACAGTTTTGTGAGCAGCTGTAAGACTCCCCTAAGTTGATTTATGTAATTAATTACTGTTTTGGTATTGGGGGAAGAATGCTTTCATGACCAGGAACATTGATCTGCACATGAAAACCAAAACTATTTTGTAATGAATCCAGGCCCAGTCCTGTTCCCACAGAAATCAATGGGAATTTTGCCATTGACTTCAGTCAGAGCAGAAGCAGGTCCTCAGTATGCAGACCACAGAAAGAGGAGCAATAAGTGATTTGTTTCTTTAACATAGGTAGCGTTTTGTAGAATCTCAGCTTTGCAATCCTGTATTGGTATCACAGAAATACATATTAAAAAAGCAGAAAGACCACACTTGTCTGTATGGGATACAGAGGTTAAGCTGATGTCTAAAAGGAAGAGTGCAGAGAAGTGAGCTTTGGGCTTGTTTCTCAATCTAGATGCATGCAGCTTTGACCGGTGGGTGATGCAGGGAACAAACATTGCCACTGACTGAATGGGAAGCTGTCCGTCTTGATTATACTTGATTCCTGTTAGGACTCAATTTGGCTGAACACCAAGGAAGAAATGAGGGGGGGAGGGAAACAATTTTAGGCTTCTTGCCAAGGAAATGCAGATTATTGAGAAAAGCTTAGATCTTCCATGGAAAATAAAACGTGAATGCTGTTGACAGAATGGTTTCCAAAATGTTGTGCCTCTCTCTATCTTTTTTACACACACACACTCTCTCTCTCTCTGTATCTCTCTTTTCCATTTCTCCAGCACTTTTTGCACCACCAGAATTTTTAAATGATCTGGAAGATTGGCACTTTAAATCAAGCCCACTGCAGGATAGGATCTTTGTATGCATTACTGGGTCTTCCTTTGGAAACAAATAAACAGAAGGCAATCAAACACATTCAAACTAACAGCCTTGCAATTGGGTTGGGAATCACTAGCTCTTGTTAATAAAACTGTTACTAACAAAACAGTGTGCTGTTTTCTAAAATATTGACTTGAGATAGAGAAGCGTCTCTATGGAGTTAATGCATCTTTTGACTTGAAAGAATGTACCCAAAGTCTGTTACTCTGCACCATCGCAGCTGGGGAGCTAAGATTCTTCATACTTACTGCGAGGACATTACAATACCCCTGCTTGTACTGTGTAATATATGGGACTAGGACAATTATAATAACTTAAGGGAAAGTTTGAAGCAAAATAGAATATATACACACACACACACACACACACACACACACACACACACACTTCTAACGCCATTGCTATATACATTTTTCATCTTGAAGACTTGTGGTCCATTTAACTTCCCTATTTATAGTGAAATTACAATTATTTAATTATAGAGCACTGTATAAGAGGATCCAGTGATTTCGGTCCCAGCCCCAAACAGCTTATGATGTAATATTCAGACTGGAACAAGCTGAAAAAACAAAGTATATTTCATAACATTGTTTAAAAGCAATGAAAAATTTTCATTTTGTTTGAAATTTTCCATAACAATTGCTTTTATTTATTTATCCATACAACATTTGTATTTAGGTTTGGTGAGGGGGAAATAACTCTCACTTTTTACACAGACACTCAGAAAAAAAAAAAAGGATGGGGGATTTAAAGAGTGATAGTGTTTTATTCCCCCATTGAAAAAATTTCAATAAATTTCACTGAAAATGAAAAATTACAACCAATAGGGAAAAGTTCCACACAATTTTCATTTTTCTTTGAAAAAAAGGTTTAGACAGAAATTTTTTAACCAACTCTAACCCAGACGATTCTGTTACAAAGTACAAATTAGATACTGAAGAATGGTCTAGATTCCTTGCCAAAAAGTCAAGGTGCTATTGTTGGTGCAGAGATAAGCACAGAAGATTTGTAAAAGAACTAGCTTTGAAGAAGGCTTTTGAAAGAGGGAGTGTGAGGCTGTTTCAAGAGTATAGGTTGGTGTAAGAGGAGGTTTAAATGGGAAAGTGGAAAAACAGAAAAGGGAGCAGTTAGAGGAGAGGTGAGGAATGTAAAAAGGAGAGAAAATGTGGCTGAAGTGAAGATGGAGTTGTAAGAGAGACAGCCGTTACAGAGCTTTGGAAGTTTTGAACTTTATGTGGAGGCAAGAAGAAGCCAGTGAATGACAATATGACATGGTCTGACTGGCAGAAGAAGATTGTCCTGTATATGGAAAAAAGAAAAATTGCTAAATGGGAATGAATCAGGGGAACGTTATTAATTAAATTACATTTTTGAATAATAAAATGTATGAAACTCTAAACAATGACATATATTATCTGAGTGGACACACCCACATACATATTTATTCAACCAGAATAAAACAAAGCAGTGAAAAACCTGCAGCTCTAAAGTGAGTTGTGATCTGAACCTATTTGCTGGAAGTGTTTATATAAATAACAATATATTTAAAGCAACTTTTCACCAAGAAATCTGGAGGTTGAGGAGGAGTGCGCGCTCTCTCTCTTAGTCATTTCAGGTAGATACAATCAAAGTATTCATAGTTAGAGGTCTTAGTCAGGGGCCTGCAGGTACAGTGGCATATTTGCACAGGAGCATAAGAGTTACAGCAGCTCTCCATTAAGTTTCTCCCAACCTTCCCTCTGCTCTCCTATTTAATGCAGTGGAATATCCATGGGAAGGCAGGTTGGCCTGCCCCTCCCATCATACACACATTGAATAGTGAGAGTTTTAGTATATGTTAGACTCTACATATATTTTCCAACTAAACCTTTTTTCTTATATCACATTCCAAAGGTTTTACCATCCCTCTGCACCACAGGGTTCATAACCTGAAAAAAGAGTGGATACTCCTGCCCTCCACAAAGGGTTCAACAACTTTAAATTCTGTCTGGGATTGCAGAAGAGGCCTGCTGGCAGAGGCACCTTGGAGATGAGCTTAATCAGGTTTCCCGTTGGACCCACTAGCCATACACCCTCCCACTTTGTCACTTTTGTGATCCCCTGGTTTTTGTATCGGTGAGCCTCACTCCATTCAGACTTTGCCCCACTCTTGGTTCCACAGACTGAACCTAAATGTTCCACGGATTGAACCTAGAATTTATCCCTCTATTCTGTTTGCAAAAGATTTGCAAACAAATGTTGATATTTACACACGTATATTTGCTACTAGTGAATGTTAGACAGTTGAAATGAATGAAGATCGCTTACAGCTTATTGGTGACTGGTCCATTTCACCATATGCTGTTTGTGGTGATTGGCCACATAAATCACATGGTATTGCTTTTGCTCTATGACTAGATGGCTGAAGCTTTCTAATATCAAGAATAACAATTGATGAATAGCATATATGGTTGTTTGCATATGAATAGGCACGTTCACCTGAATCTGGGTATTCGCACAAACAACCCAAAGATGCCTCTATTAGTGAGGCCAAAAACCTGCTTGTGCAGATGTTTGCACCCATGGAATAGAAAAGTGAATGAAGGTGGTCAATCAGAATTCAAACATATGCACAAACACTCTGTTTTGCAGTATTTGACCAGATCTACGCAGGAATGAATTGAGCCCTATGTGACTAAAACTAGGAGGGGCCCTAGCAACTCAGGCCACTGGTCACAGTGGTCTGTCTGTCTATCATATGGAGGAGGGCTCTTTGTTGGTTTCCAGTCTTATTGATGGTTGGGCAGTTGTTCAAATATCTTTGAAAAAGTAGTGGTCTGTCAGTACAAATCAGGCCTGTGTTGGTAGTTAGCACCTTTTAGTTCCAGTGGGTTGATTTTTGTTTTTGTTTTTCTTCCTTTAATTAAATCCTGGGCACAAGCTGAAATGATCTAGTGATGTGAAGGCACCGCTTTGATCCATCCAGGGCCCCGTCCCTTCCTCTAGAGCACTCTTAGTTCAAATGTAAACAAGCCACTGAATGTTCAGCCAGCTTATGCTAGAGTGGCTCACAACCGTCAGCTGTGGGATAATGGGGTGTTTCTTTAGGAGAGTAGTAAAAGGAATGTGTCTGGATAAAAATCACATTTACAAATAGTTTTCTGTGTAACCTATGAAATCGTATTTTATTAACAGAAATATTTTTTGAAAATATACTTTACATAAAGCAGAAAAATAAGCAATCTTCTATTCTTCAGTATTCCCCAGTTCCCTGGTAACTGCCCCTCTTTTAGTTTATCCTGATTGCTACACAAAGAAAATATATAATTTACCTCACATTTGGGGTGTTTGATTATCATTATTTTTATTACAGTTTCACCCATGAACCACAACTGAGCTCCGAGCCCCATTCTGCTAGGCACTCTTCAGGCACAGACAAGGCTATCCCTGCCCCAAAGAGCTGACAGTCTAACAGATAAGACAGATAAAAGGGTTTAACTAAAAAAATAATTACATTAGGGTGCTTGCTAGTGCACCAGTGGGAGATTTTTTTCCTTAAACCCCCAATTTTAGACAAGGTTTTAAAGAAAAGTCAACATCTATGTCCCTCACACTGTCCATCAGATATTGAAAGTCTACATTAACTATTTGGTTATGTACAACAGGGGCAGCCTTTGGAAAAAATCATTGAACATTTTGAAGGCAGAAGAAGCTGTGAGATAGGGGAAGAAATGAACACTGTACTCCATGAGGGCTACCTTCTCATTTCAGTACAATGTGATATTGGCAGAATAGGCAACATTCAGCAGATGAGTCCTTTGTAGTGTACTTTGGTTTACAGCGGTTTCTGGCAGGAGCAAAATAATCGAATATTGCACACATCCAGAGGTTAAAGCCTCTGCGGATTGGCATGGTGATGACTGATAATCTTACTGTGTCTCTTGTAAACTTTTAGGTGGAGTGGTTGAAAAATGAAGAGGTGATTGATCCCGTCGAAGATCGGAATTTTTACATCACCATTGATCACAACCTGATCATCAAGCAGGCACGTCTTTCTGACACAGCTAATTACACCTGTGTCGCCAAAAACATCGTCGCCAAGAGGAAAAGCACTACTGCCACTGTAATTGTCTATGGTAAGCAAGGCATTGTCCTTCTGACCTACAGGTTGCACTTTGATCTATGTGCAGAAGTGGTCTGTGTAGTTCTGTGATGCAGCTGCCACCATCTTTGATGCAGAAGTGAGGTCTGTGGAAATTACAAGTTCCTGATTGTAATGCACTATCTTAATTAGCATGGCCAGGCTGCCAATGTGGCCCTCATCCAGACGAAGTGTGATGGCCCTGTCTCCTCATTCCCTTACTCTACATCCACGTCCGCTCTGCCCCCGTAAAATAGCCTGAGCAGAAAGCTAGGTCTGCCTTCCATGAAGTTATTGCTCTTGGTATTTTTGAGGCAGAATGTATCCACGGGGACAGAAGCTGCTCTAATGATACACCAGCTCATTTTGTTCATTACAATCAATTTAATTACAGGACAGACGAATGGAAAAAAAATCCCTATGATTACCCTGAGCATTCATTCACTTCATAGCCAGGGTAGCAGTTATGCTTAATTGTAAGCAATTGCATCCCTAAAGTTACAGTGAGGGCTTTTTAGTTCCGTTCTGTAGCAAACTAGCGGAATGGAGTTGATTAGCAGCATTTGTGATGCAGAGGAGGGACACGGCACAAGCATTCTGTGTTGTGGTCGTGGTGAATACTTTAATGGATAGACATGGGACAAATTTCACCATACACAAATTTTTCCAAACACACAGTTAGACTCTCTAAAAGCGTAATTTAAGCTGTTGCTGAAACACTTATTGAGAGTGGGCCGTGCAGGTGGGGGCACAATCGGGAGACCTGCATTGGGGAGTAGCTATTGTCTGTGTTCTCCCTCTAGGGGGACCAGACAGCAAGTGTGAAAAATCGGGACTGAGGGTAGGGCGTAATAGGCGCCTATATAGGACAAATCCCCAAATATTGGGACTGTTCCTATAAAATCGGGACATCTGGTCACCCTATCTCACTCCCAGGGATATTTTAGACCTGTGGTGTGACTGGTAATACTACAAAATTGAGGGGTTAGGAAAATTGAGCAGTTTAAATGCTTGTTATTATGGCTACACAGTATGGGGCAGTACTGGTCCCTGCCCATCTTGTTCTCCACGAGTGTCACATATCGAGGTTCATAACAGAAAGGGTAAGCAGTAACCATCTTCCTAAAATCACGGACGAACAATATAAGTGGTGAGTTCACTCTGAGCAGCCCAATAGGTGGAGTACCTGTCATATGGACTCCTCATCTTCTGTAGGCAAGGCTCTCATTGGGACTGGTGAACAAGGGATACCCTTGCCTTAGCATTCTGTGAACTGTTGCTGTGAAGAGAGGAAAGTAACGTGTTGAATTTCTGATAGACCACATCCCAAAAGAGAGGACCATAGATGACGGGTACATCTGTACGCTAGTTATTGTACAGCCACTATACACACTGGATTATCTTGCTGTGAAATACAGTGGAGCTTTCAGGATGCATATATTTTGGCTTACAGAGTTCAAGATGCACTGTTTGATCTTACAGTGATTGCAATTATAGAAAGATAAATCAATGCTCATTGCTGGATCATATTGGGTCTATATGAAGAGAAGGGCCATTTAAAATCCACAGTAGCCATACTACAGGAAGGAGTATTGCAATGGTATTTCTTGGACTTTGACAAAGACAGTGGTTAAAAAGGGGGGATTTGTGTTTATTTAATGCTCTTTGTCACCTGTCACCTTTCAGTCAATGGCGGCTGGTCTACCTGGACTGAGTGGTCAGTGTGTAATGGTCGCTGTGGAAGAGGCTATCAGAAGCGCACAAGGACCTGCACCAACCCTGCCCCACTCAATGGTGGTGCCTTTTGTGAGGGCCAAAGTGTCCAAAAAATAACTTGCACCACCCTGTGTCCAGGTACAGTATGAAAGACCCACAGCCCAGATGTGATTATCTAGTTTTTTCCAACGTCAAGTATTTTAGGAAGTAACTATTAATCATAAACACTCCTTTTATTTTACTGGTAAATCCAGCATTTCAGTGAATGAATAATAAATTGTGTTACATAAATAGATAAAACATTGTGCACAGAGTAGATCAAACCACAGTGGATTAAATCCCACTATTTCACAAAGCTTGCACCATCATCTCAGTCCCTGTAATTCAAGGGATTTGAGTAACATTTACAGCTTCAAATCTTAAAAGCTAAAGCTCTTGATCTGTTGAAAGCTGTGGAAATAAACTAGAATTTAAGTACAGAATATTATTTTGACCGAACAGATTTGTAACATCCGTTTCTGTACATACCAATTTCTCAGTTTACACTGTAAAGATGAGTAGAGCATTTGAAACATCTGGATTATGGATGTTAAACTTGACATACATATTTGCCTGTCAACAAAGACAAGAACATTCACACCAAAAATATCCACTCATTCACACATTAAAATAATTTTAAATTGCATCAAAAGCCAGAAAATTAAAACATGAAATGTATACTTTATCATTTAATTCAACACTGCTTAAGGGCTCTGGGTGGCTTTTAGAGAGACAAACTCTGCTATCCCTCACTCGTGTTGAGTAGCACTTTCCTATGCATTGAAATCAATGGCACTACTGTTGAAATAAGGTACTACTCAGCACAGGTAAGGAGCATCAAAATCTGGCTCTTAGTGGTGGGTGAAACTCAGAGAAATGGAAGGTCATTTCAAATTCTGGGCACTGAGCTGAGCCTCTTTAGTCCGAATATTTAGTAGATCCAGCTATTAAAGTCAGCACTTTTGGGCCCCAGCATTGGCCTAACTCTTCTCCCATTGAAATCAATGGGCATTATTGTATTGACTTCAGTGGGAGCAGGGTCAGATTAATATTGAGCACTTGTCAAAATCCCATTTTAGTCCATTAATGTAGGTACCTAATTGTGGATGTGGGAGCCTACCTTCAGGCACCCGTTATTTTAAAATCTTGGCCATGGTTTTTATCTTCACAATGTCCCTTTAAATACATGACCAACTAGCTTATAAATACAGATTGTAGCACAGGTAATAAACTGCATGTGCAGAGTACGTATTCTTGACAGTTTTGCTGATTATGCCTCGTAGCCCCTTTTTCAAATGAAATATTTCAGTGGCTTTAGTCATTTCTCTGAATATGAAAAGTGATGATTTCATAACACCGAATAATTTCTTGCCAAATTTAATCCTTTGTTGTACATAAGTGCCAAAAAGCATAAATTTCTGGGCTTTCGGGTTTTTTTCTTCTTAAACAATTTAGCCATGGAGAAACCTCTTTTTGTTTCCATTTCAAAAAAGAGAGGAGAAGAGAGAAGGAACGAGTACTCGGGGACAAATTTCAATCCAGAATTAGTTCTTCTACCAAAGCTATAAATTCCACAAGACAACTGCTGACTGACTCTTTTCCAGAAGTCAGTTCTTTATGTGACTCAGTGACTCAGTTCTTGTTACTGGGACAGAAAGCCTTAAACATCTCGATAAGCTGTTGGGATCCAACCCATACAAGTATTAACTGAAAGACGTACGTTTCTAATGGGGACTTGGTGGCCCAAGTGGACTGAAGAGATGTCAAAATCACAAAAATCACCACTGTAGTTAGCACTAATTATTACCCTTGCTGGCAATCCAAACATGTATATCTAAGACTATGGAGACTGAACTACCTCATTCCCCTTACAGTTGGTCCTTCTAGGGCTAGCTTGAGGCAAATTAGCAGGGCCGTATGAGGAAGCTTGTATTTCTATGATCGATGCTGTAAAGATTTCGGTCCTTAGTTCTGTCAGTCTGGCACCTTTCAAAAGGGCTAAATTCACAAAGATCTTTTAAAATCAACCATTTTCTCTGCTTCTATCTATATTTGCATCTCTCTCTTTCTGACCTTCCTAAGTCATGTCGCTTTTTTGTCACAGTGGATGGTAGATGGACAGCGTGGAGTAAGTGGTCTACCTGTGGAACAGAGTGTACCCATTGGCGCAGGAGGGAATGCACAGCGCCAGCACCGAAGAATGGCGGGAAAGATTGTGAGGGTCTCGTTCTGCAGTCCAAGAACTGCACAGATGGGCTGTGTATGCAGAGTAAGTGGAAGTATATTAATCTGTTGTATTGACTTTGGAGTTTGGAAAATATATAGCCATTTAAAAAACAAATTAAAGCTTGAATGTTCTCCTGCCATAAAAATCTCCTATAAGCAGAAGCAGGAGAGTATCTAAATGAAATACCCTGCACCATAACAACATAAGGAAGAAAGCTACATTTAAGTGAAATGGCATAAAATGACCAAAATAACCCACATGTGGTGCTGCAAAATTGTGCCATCTAGGCATTGTCTGAATTGGGTGCAAAGCTTCACCACCTACAGCAAGCTTAGGGAGGAATTGTGTGGCTGAGGCAAATCCTCTGTAAACTCCCTGGAATAAATGGTGCAGCCTACTCCTCTCAGCATTCTGTGCCAGTTTTGTGTGGTGGTGGAGAATGAAGGTGGAGCCATGACCATTGTAATGGTCTGTGCCTTTTCTGAGATCCTTTTCCAGTCCCCCAAGTGCACCACTTTCAAGTGACAGGCCTGTACTCTACTTCTCTTTGGGATGGGACCTTGTGTTCCTTCCACTGTCTGAGTGGTTGTGCTAGGTTATGCCCATCTGGTTGCCAAATTTGACACCTCGCAGACTTGTTGGGCATAGCACCTACAAGACTTCCCTTCAGGAGTTGGTGGACAGTAATATTATGCAGTCATACAAAAGCAGCTTTTTCAAGACAAAGGATGATTTTTTTGCCAAAAGGTTCACAGCACTCAAAGAAATGGATTTAAAACAACAGAGAGGCCAGTAGGCGCAATGTCTTACCTATGCTTGGCATTCCCCTGAAGGCCCTAGGTAGATATGACTTAGCCTTGGTATCCTCTGTTCTCTTGGCGGCCAAGTTACAGCCTGCTAGCTGCAGACCCCGACTCACTGATAGTCTGGGTGTTAGCTTGCATCCCTGTCGGTGCTCATTGGCATTCACTGAGCAGCCTTTCTCAACAAAATCAATCCCCCACCCTTTCCTAGGCCTAGGGTCCTGTAATGTTTAGTACCCTTTTTTGATCCTAGATTTAGCCTTGGGAAGAGTAAACCATTCTAGCTTGATTGGAGCCTGGTGTGGGGTATTATCCAGTTAACATTTTCCTCAAGGACTTTTATCTGTGTCATTGTTTTGCCTTTCCTGCTTGGTCCCTCTAACAACCCCTTCTGATCTAACTCCATATCAAGTAGCCCACTATAAACATTATAATGCATCATGTACCTAAAAAAATAACACAGATATTTCCCAATTCTCCACAGCTATGTCCTCTTACGGCTTCCTTTGGGGTAATTTTGCACCCCCAGGGGCCAGGAGGGAGCGGCCTCTGACCTCTCCCAAATGCAAGGACTTAGATTGTCCTTAGCCCACGTGTAGAGTGCTTGAGGGAGGGAAGAAGGCTCCTTCCATTGTTCTTCCCCAACTGTGCACCCACGCAGATGCCAGGCGTAATCTAGTCTACAGTAGATATAATTACACACTAGCTAGAGACACCTGCAGAATAAATGAACTCCTTTATGGGAAAATACTGTTTCCTGTGCCAAGATCATGTAAACAGACTTGCTGCAGGGTATCTCCTCTGAGGTTTGGGCAAAGTATTCTTCCCTCTTAGTCCGCAGGGATGCAGTAGTCTCTGCAACTCTTGTACCCCCTCTCTTTTGGGGGAAACTGGTAGTGGATCCATATAGGGTGGATCTAGAGCTCTCTAAAGCTACCACTCCTCACCCTTATATGCAGCAATGTGGAAGCTGAGGGTCTATGTCATAAAGGTGTGCAGTAGGAGTGCATCAGTCTCTCTGCGTCCAGGGCCTTTCCCACTCACACAAGAGGAGGCAGGATTTGCCCCTTTGCGTAGTGTAGATTTAGGATTCTATATCCAGTATAGCATCACTTGAAGAGAGAGCCTGTTGTTTAGTTATTCATTTGGATATTTACAGCTCTGCCATAAACAAGCACCCATCCAATGCTCTGGGTGCCCTGGACTAGTCTTTTAAAAAATCCAACTTATTAACCAAATGACACTTCTGTTACCCCGGATCAAACAAACTCCCAGGAATGTAAATAGAACAAAATGAATTGACCTCCCCATACAGCCCCACCGGCGTCCCATATCATCATTATTGCTAGGCTCATCTTCTTATGGGCCAGGAAGTTAAGATGGATGTTGCAGCTTTCCCTGAAGGTTAACAAATTCGGGCTCTTTCGGACCATAGGGAGAATCGAGTTGAAAAGGCTTGGTGACCTGCCTGTTGACCTCTCTCTCTGATACCAATGAGGCTCCAGCCCAATGTCTCTGATGGTCACAGGGAGAGAGAGTCTCACGGATAGATGGGTCTCGGGACTGATAGAGCTTTTATAGTTCAAAACCAACATCTTCAAAAAATCAACCTGGTAAAGCCAACCATAGGCCTTTGGCACTGTTCATTTGCACACACAAAATTGGTTCTAGGTACATTGTTCCATTTTATATTTGAATGAATTTAGAGCCAGACTGATAGCGCTGAAGCTGTCTGTTCGCAGAACAGGTACAGCATCGGCAACAGCGCAAGTTTCAACACACTGACCCTCCAATGTATCTCAGCCTCTAAAACGCAGAGGAAAGTTCAGTCTTCAGGACCATCCTGGTGTTGGCCACTCCACTATGACTACCAAGAGGTTCCCAATTATTGTCAAGGCTTATGTTGGTTTTTTTGTGTGTGTGTGGAATTGAACCATCCCACTGAGTCTTTCAGAGGATACATTAAAAATGGAGTTCCTATCTGCACTGCTGGTTCATTAAAGAGCCACTGAACTTTTAATAAGAACAGTGGTTGGTTCCAATGGCCTTTGCCAAAATTTGCCTTCTTCCCTCCTCTGCATTTTACTATACTGCTTTCTGATTCTCCACCTGGCTGCAGCTCTCCATCACCCAAGGGGCTGCAGTTGTATCTGTATAGTGTTTGTATGTTCACAGTTGTATGTTCAAATAGGCCACAGAAATGCCATTAGCTAGTATGCAATGATTTTCAGTCACTACCAAACAGGGCTAGATTTGAACACATGACCTAGACATAGAAGAATCTGTATCGAAACCCTGAGCTATCCAATCTCAAAACATGATTTTTCCTTCAGTTTTCGTTTAACCAAAAACTTACTCATCCACATGGCCACATCCTTCATTTGAGTTTTGATGCTTTGAGTGACAGCTGCACGAAACCAGCTGTAATTTGTCCATTTTTATTTTTGTGGGGGAGCGAAAAGAGAAGCTGAACTTTTCTCTAAAAGTAAAAAGAAGTCATACTAAAGTAAAGTTATATTACACCCTGAAAATATGGGTTTGTAGCGGGGAAGCTAATGTATCCTTCACTCCAGTGGTGTGAATGAGCCATTATGGTAAATTAGCAAGAAAAGAAACCACCTCCACTCTAAAGAGCTCTTTATTACCAGATTATATTTAGACAGGTGTGTGTCATCTTTGGGTATATGCATAAGCAGAGTCATTTAAGCAGAAATCTCATGAAAACAAATTCATAATGCTGCTGCAGAATAAAAACCCTGTAGGGATCCCATTTTTATGTAGATGGTATATTGCATTTTATTTGTGAAAGTGACTGCTGGGAGTAAAGCACAGATCTTCAAAAGGAGAGAGGGTGATGCTAATGTGAATCCCACTCTGCATTTTTATATGTATATGGAGGGTAGGAGGAAATGAAAAATATACAGTTGCATATTGATCTCCTTAGCTCCAGGGGTTGAGATTGTCCCTCAGTGTGGGAGTTTAATGGTAATGTCTTTATACGTATGGGGTTCATATACCTGTAAAACTTACAATCCTGCTCCATGATCCATCACTGCTGAATAGATTGATTTGCCATACGTTAGCTCTGTGCCTGCGATTCTTTCTCTCTCTCAATTTATGTAAATCCATTCAGAACACTTTTATTTTTACTTCTGTATAGGGTTGGGTTCCTCCAGATGAACTCATAGTGCATCTGTGTGCTGAGCTAGGGAGGAACACAGGACCCTTTTCATTCCTGAAACACACTGAAATTCATTACGGATTATTAGATTTTCATCTGGATTGAGTTGGAATTAGATTTTTTCATAACTCGGAGGCCTTTGAATCCAGATCACACACTTTCAAAGAACTTCCAGCAGTTTTCCCTTGTGGGCACATGGATAAGAGCCAAGGGACCCAAGATCAAGCCCTCTGTGTGCTTGGATCCTTTTCTGATTTCTACTTGGTTGGCTGCTTAATTGCATGCTATGCAGATTCTACCCATTAGAGCAGTTTCCCCCTTCCTTCCCAGAATCAGTCTTCATCAAAAACTGATAGGTTATCAATTAAATATAGTAATGTGGAGGTCTGAGAATTATTAAATAGCTTCTTGTAGCAGGAGCAACTAACCCATTGCTTTGACAGAAACTCACTTGTAAAAAAATATATAAAAGAGAGATCCCAGGAAATATTGGATTGAATCAGTCTAATTTACAAGCCCTTTCTCTTCCAGTCTATTATTCACTACACTAACATCACTTGGGCAAATCAATAAGCTCTTTCATCAGACTGCCCCAACTCCAACACAGAGCAGCAGTCTGTACCGCTATCGATTTCTGTGTGGGGATGAAAAGTGTGGAGCTTTCCCCATCCCTTGTAATTACAGTATTTTACACCCAAAGCTGTAGTTTCTGCTTACCGCTAACCATGGTGTTTCTGGTGCAACTCTGCTGTCACATTTATTCAGATTAATGATCTTGCTAGTGTACACACACACTCCTATTCAGTAGCTAGTATTTTCCCCTTAACATGAAAGAATGAATAAGCATTAAACTAGCATGCCTGCAGAGAGACAGGAGGCAGATTGAAAAAGAAAAGTAACCGCAGTGAAAATTTAGGACAACTGTTACTACTGTAAGCCTCCAAATATACTGTATCACCTAGCAGGAGTCTTTACAATAATTTAATAATTTATTGTAATGGCATTAATAAGCCCTCAGCAACATCGTATACTGTGTGTGTAATAAAAACTGGCACCAC